ACTGAAAGTAAAGGTTTTTAATTAAATTTTAAATGTAACACAGTGACTTGTGCAGAACAGCATTTAAAGGGACTCCTGTCATGAAAGGGTTATAGTCTTAACTTCATACATGTTGTTTTTTAAGACAAGCAGAAACTTATTCTATAATAAAACTGTTTTATATTATCTGGTTTTTACATTTACCTTGGAGCTTTAAATCTGAAATAGTACTGAAATTACACTCACAGTGAAATGTTTAATGTTGATACAGCATTATAAGCAAAACTTATAAGCTTTAAAAGCCTTTCTTGATGTTGAGCAAATTGTAGGGGTTTTTTGTTTTTTGTTGTAAATCCAAATGTTAGGTATTCTGATGTCAACCACAAAGTAATCATGTAGCTGTAAAATGCAAGTTCTGGAAATTTTATCCAGAGAATAACCTCAATCGTGTACAGAAAAGGAAAACAAATGAATAAGTAAAACAGTATATTTATTCACAAGTAGTGTGCGTGTGTGTTTAAGTTTCAGACTTACTGGCCAGTTTTTATTACTCTGTAACTCTTAACTGTTTGCTGGGGTAAAGTGAAGGTCTCAAAACATGTGCACAAGACATACAATATCAAAAGAGAAAAATGGAGTAAGAGAGAGATATTTGTGTGGATACCCCACTTTTGTATCAGACTAAGATCCTAATGCAGTGTTTCACAATCGTAAGATTACGTACATGAACTGTTGTTCCAAAGGAACATATTCAAGGAAAAAAATCTCAACTCAGACAAATTTGTACAAGTTTCTGTATCACCTGTTGAAATGAGCATAACCTCACTCCAAGAGGCTGACACAGAAACAGTGCCAAGCCTCTATGAGATGAGCATTGTGGCATCTAACCTTTTTGTTTGAGGTGGAGGATTAGTGCAAGTTTTTGATGACCTATGTACATCATGTTTACAAAGATGACTATCTCAATGCAGAAACATCTGAAAAAATATTTAGGAAAAGTAACACAATAAACTTTAAATATATTAAACATTTACAGTGTCTTGTATTCAAGAAAACAAAAAATATTCTATTAAATTTCTTGTAGAGTTACCTAAATTTGACCTTTTGAGATTAGCTTGTAGGTGTGTTTACTAAATCAAAAGTTAAATCTGTTAAACTCACTATATTTTATTCTATTTATATCATTTAACTTTTTGAGTGGCCACTCTTTGATTGTAAAGAGGAGCTCATTGTTGAATACTTGTTTGTATTACTAACTGTCTAAACTATTGATGTTTATGTATTTTTATTTCTTTTACAAAATAACAGATTTATACTAATTTAAAAAAATTCTTTTTCTTACATATCCCAGTTTAAATGCATTTGTATATTGTGTTGTCCACAAGATTACTAAGCAGCATAGGATCGATAGCCTTACTTTCAAACGGCCATAAATTTATTTATTTTTGAAAAAATATTATGAACTTTTATGGTAAAAAAAAAGTTAAAAAAATATGAAGCAAGTGTGCAAGTTATTAACCAATATTAAAATGCATTATACTATTTGTTATCTCTTTCTTATATAAAGTTACTTTGATTAAAAGAAAGAAAAGACACAGCTTTGGTACCATAACATGTCAGAAGTTTGAATAGTCTTGTATTCTTTACAATCTATGTTGTCTGCTGAGAAGAACTTAGTCAGTACAAATTAAGTGATATCAAACCTTAGGATTATCTTTAAGGCACATATTCAGAAAAAAAATTGCATTTTTTATGTTGCCATTTTTAATGTATCTTTTATGTTCATGTTTCTTCCAGTTTTGCCCATGTTTATTCAAATATTTTTTTTCTTTTAATTGTTAAATGTGATATTGAGCTTTTTTACTTTTTACATGAATTTTTTTACATTTATTTATTTTGCTAATTAAGTAATTAAATGTAGCCATTGTCTTTTTTAATCATCCTTATACACTGCTATTTTATGTATAAAATTTTCAATTTGAGCATATTTCTTATTAATTTTAAGTTTATTTTTAAATGAAATACATTGTTCCTAGAAGTATTTATTTCAAATATACGGTTACATATAATAAGATTTTAAGATACTGTAGTTTATCTTCTGGGTTACATATAATAAGATTTTATGATACTGTAGTTTATCTTCTGCTTATGTGAAAACTTTCTTTATCTCACTTCTTTAATTGGTTGAAAATTTTTAACCTTAAATTATTTACAAGGTCCTCACAGATCAAATTAATATTTTGCATTTCATCAATATCCCTGTTTAATATTGTTATCTTATTTACTTAACCCTATCACTACGGACATTTTTTACTGCACATGACATAAGGATTTAGTGACTTACATTTAAAATTTTATTAATCTACTTTTTATTTATGCTATACCAATTAGTATAGCATAAAATCTTGTCTAATAATCCATATTTTAATAGTATTTTAAGTTCTTAATTTTATAAGATTTTGAAGAAAGAGCCTATATAACCAAGTTTCTACAGATGTTATGTTGATGACACCTTATTATTAATCTACTTTTTATTTATGCTATACCAATTAGTATAGCATAAAATCTTGTCTAATAATCCATATTTTAATAGTATTTTAAGTTCTTAATTTTATAAGATTTTGAAGAAAGAGCCTATATAACCAAGTTTCTACAGATGTTATGTTGATGACACCTTCGTTATTTGGTCCTAAGGTCATGAAAACTTACCAGCCTTCTTAAAACATCTTAATTCTGTAGACAAAAGAATCCACTTCACCATGGAAATAGAGGAACAAAACAGCCTACCATTTCTTGACATACTCATCAGCAGATAAGGGAGAAAAATCACCACAACTGTATACAGAAAACCCACCCACACAAACAGATACCTACACTTCCAGTCCTGTCATCCAACTTTGATAAAACATGGTATAATCCTATGCCTAAACAAGAGAGCAGAAAACATTTGTGATAAGACATCCATCGAAACCGAATGCCAAAAGATGATAGAGGGTTTTAAACACAATGATTACACCTTCTCCTTCATCAAAAACTGCTTGAAGAAGACCACAACAGAAAGAACAGATCAGAAAAACACTACACTACTACCATTTACCTCCCCTGTCTGCAAATTTTCAGTGCAAAACTCAAATGCATAGCCAATAAATTCAACATAGAAGTCTGATGGAAATCCTACAAGACATTAAGGTCAATTCTGGTAAAAAACAAACAGCAACCTACCAATAAGAAACACAAAATTTTATTTATGAATTTCAGTGTTCCTGCAATGAAAGATACATTGGAGAAATGAGAAGAAGACTCGCGACAAGAATAAAAGAACATAAAGATAGTACAGGACTCATGAAACACAACATTCAGCCATTGCAGAACACGCCATGTCAACTGGACACAAAATAAACTGGAAAAAACTAGAATCATCGACACAGGCAAATTTTGGAATACATGAAAAACTAAAGAAACATTTTATATTAACACAATTAAACCATCACTAAAAAGAGATTCTGGATTAGAGGTGAGTAACCTGTGGCTACCATTGGTTGAATCTACAGGAAATCTCTCCTCCAATCAGAAAGAGGGATAATCAACCAATCATAACATGCTCTCTACAATCTACCAGAATACTATAAAGACAGACAACACCTTACATATACTGACCCAAAGACGAAAGGCGGAAGACTTTCGAAATGTTGTCCTCTACACTTATGTCTCTAAACAGGCAGTTGCCGTCCATTCTACAAAGTTTCATCATGAATACTGTGCCTAAACAATCTATCAATGATAGGTTTTATTATGGGTAGTTCATAACATAGTAGTAAACCTGTTGGGTTACAGATCAGGAGGTTCAAGATTCGTGCTTGTGATGCCACTGAATGTTCTGCACTTTCAGTTTGGGTGTGTTATAAAAGTAGCTGCCAGTCCCATTCAGTTCAAAGCCCTTGTGGCAGTGGGTATTACTTACTGGCTACTTTTCCTCTATTAATAACTAAAAATTAGGAATGACTGTAAGTAAATCCCTGGGGTATGTATCCTGGCCATTTAGTCCTTTTTCAAATACTAAATACCCTACTTTCTATAGTATATACTATCTACCAGTAAAAAAGCTCTTGCTTTTTCTAACACTAGACTTTACCAAAATACTCATAATGGCACCCCAACTATATAATGTCAGAAGCTTTCTAAACTGTGACAATTAAACCCATTGTTGGGTTGGCATCAGCTTTCCCATAGTACAAACAAAAACTGTTTATACAAAAATAAGAAATTCTGTATACAAATACATGAGGTATAATATGACAAAGAAAGTAATATAAAACTAATCTAACTAAACTAATAATGTAATGTCAAACTCAGCTAGTATTAACTGTATATAATAATAACTTATGCCAACAGTTGGTAAAACTTGTAGTCAGTATTCTATACTCCCAAACAAAATCCAAAGGAATCAAAGCGTAGATATGATAGTTTTAAAGAGGTTGTGATACTCTGTAAAACTTTGAAACCCATAATTTTTTGCAAGAATATTGTTGAATATTTCATAGAATTTAATGAATTTTGTGTTTGCTTTTCCTAATAAGAAACTTCAATTATTAAAAATGCAAGTGAGTCTATGAATTCTATATACAAAATCTTCTAAGATTTATAATGGAAAATATTGTGATTTAATTTCATCAATAGAGACTAGAGGAAAGAACCATGGAAGTGTGTAAAGTGGAGCATAAAATCTTAGTTTTCAGACAAAAGATCCAACATGCCTTAGCTGCCAGTCATCGAAGAAAGGTACAACTTTTGTTATTTCTAATAAGAAACTTCAAGATAAAGAATAAATTACCATTCATTGTATTAGTTAATAGATATGTGATCTCCTGAGTCTAATTATTAGTTGTTGTTTTGTTTTTTTACTAGATAGCTTATAACTAATTAATTTAGGTTCTACATTTAGGCTGCTAATCTGCTGCTATGTTAGAGAAGTCCTGGAAAGGATTTATATGGTGGCTAGAGCTGTTATTCAGTCCTGGATCTTCTTTTTAGAAAGGCTGTAACTCACATAGAGTCTTCTCTGTTTAGAATTGAACATACTGTTAGAATGTTTTCCAGGTTTTTCTGACTTTTGTGTTAAGTGGACCAGGTATGTTAATTGTTAGGTGGATTGCATTCTGTTTCTTTCATTTGGTTCCTATCCCATTAATTATTTATTCAATTTTATTGTAAGGTTTCTGACAAGATGGGCAGATAGTCTGGTATTACAGAATCTTATATGTCTGTTATGCTTTAGAGTTCTAACTTTTATTGATCTTTTTTGTTTCTTCAGTGTATTGTAGTCTACATTTACAAGGCATGTTGTAAATTGTGGTTTTGCTCTCTGATGGGGTCTTTAGGTGATTTGGTATGTACTAACTCTGAACATATTGTATTGTGTCTTCTGAATACTGTTTTTTATATCTATTGTGTGTTTTCAGAGAGACATATTTTCTACATAGGGGAATACATATGTGCATCTGTAATTTTTTTCATGGTTGCTCTAAGTGTTTATCTTTATTTTCTTCATTATCAAGTGTTTGTCAAGGATGTTTGTTGTGATGTGTTTTTCTTCCATCTTTTTTTTATCATCTTATACATTACAAATCTTGGTGTTCATTCTTGAAACTAAGCAATTTATTACATACATCTTTAAGATATTGGGGTGGTTTATTCTACAGTTGATCTATTTACCAGTATCTGTAAACGTGTGTGTTGTGTGAGTCTATGAGTCTTGGTAACCCTCACATCTAGGAATTGGAGTTTCTTATCCCCTCTCTCTATTTAGGATTCCCTTTTGCCATTTCAGCTCAGCTAGGTAATTGTGAGGTTTAAAATTTTGGAGACATGTCATTTAATTAATGTACAATAAGCTTTGATGGTTGTTATTTATGTATGTTTGATATATGTTAATAAAATATATAACCTACTTTTAAGAATCATATGCAACTTTTAAACAAATATTAGAGCTAGAGATATGACTAAACAGTGGTGATTTACTATAGGTAGGAAGCTGAATCTTGTTTTAAAAACGTGTTTTTGTTTTGTGCATGTGATTATAATTCTCCTGAATAATAATATGAAAGAAGTATAAGAAGGAACAAGAAAACAAAGGTATTTATAAAAAAAAATTGATAAGATGCATCAAAACATAAGTAATTTCTATGAGCCTACATTTGTAATGATTACTTCATTGTAATTAAACAAGAATGTAACATGTGACATGATGGGAGTTTCTAGAAATATTCAGTACAATTGATGTTAGTCATCTAGTGATTGTTGTAGTGTAATCCATATCACTGCAATAACTTCAAAATCAAGTTAAAATTTAAAAGCCTGAAAGTAACACCCTTAATCCCAATTTCCACAGTACCTTGTGGGAATCTCCTATTGTCTAAAAACTGGAGTGAATTAAGAAACATACATGTGAATTATTACCTAGTTTTGATCAACCTTTTATTATGAAGTCTGAATATTAATAGTAAATTTGCCTCAAGAGACTTGAGAACATTATTTGTCTTGAATATTCACCAGATTCATGTTCAATGTGTGAATTGAGAGAACTTCTATTATGCTGAATAAGTATGTAAGTTGTATTTTCAAAAAATATATGACTGATATTAACCTTTAGCTTTAACTAAGGAATTTAAAATCACAGTTTTATGTATTTACATTTCAGGAAATGTCATCTATATCTAAAGCAGATCTCGAATCAGAGCTTTTAAAGATTCAGAACTTTTTGGAAAGCCTAGCCAAGCGTCATCAAGAAATTAATAACATTATTGAAACACTTAAGCTTAAATCGAAACAGAAACAGTTTCCTAGCATTCAGAAAGTAAGAGAGGGGGCATCAGGAATTGTAGGTAGGGTGGAAGTTGTCTTGATCTACTTTCTTTACTATTTGTTTATATTTATCAGTTGATAATTTTGTGCCTAAAAACACATTTGAAGATTTACATTGTAATTATGGTTAATGTTCAGTTACTGTAAAGGAAAACCATATTGAACTGGTGAATTACATTTGGAGGATCTCAAAATAATACAAGATTCTGAAGTGTGCATCTTCTAAAAATAAGGTACTAGTCAACAAAGCTGTTTTTCAATATACTTTCAAAATTAAAAACCCAATGAGGTGTACAAAACTTAAGAATAAGTAACAAGAGTTTTGTGTTCAAGTTTTTATTTAAACATTCAGCTTTAATTTTTGCACATACCAGTGTCTAATTGTCTGGAAAATCATCTATTTAAACAAAACTACTTATGATGGCGAAATTTGTTTGAGCAGGTTCAGCAACTCTGCCTCCTAAGAGAAAGTATCACAAAGCCTATATGGAGACAGATCTTGATTCCTGCAGCTCTCAAGAACTTGGTGTTATTAGGAAACCAGAGAGTCAGTATGTTAATGTTGAAGCTAGTTCTCAGGTATACAGCTTAAGTTGTTTCACAGAAACACATGAATGTTTAATGATAGACTGACTTTAATTATTTATTTTGTATAATCTAATAATCGAATTGAAGAACATGGCATTCATTATCATTGATCTAGCAGGGCAGATGATAGTAGTGATACTGATTTTATAACAAAATTAAAGCTAATACATATTACTTAATAAAAATACAATAGTTTGAATACACTCATTAGTTATGGTTCTGTGAGAGATTTCCAATATGATACATTACCTTCTCTCACATAAATAGCTATTCTCGTTTAGTGCTGCCCTCTATATGCAAAAAACAATTAAGCATGCCACAAGCCTTTTATCTCCCCTCCATTGGAATTGACTAATTCCAATGCATATCTCATGCAAATCATCAATGGTCAACTCTCCACCAATAAGAGTGCAACATACTCTCATGATGCATGAGACTCTCTCTATTCAATTCTACTGAATCATCACTTCTTGTTTGGTAGTACTTGTGTTGGGATGTTTTTTTTCTTTTGGTGCTCTTTATGTGAATCGTGATTTTAATTGCTTAATTTCCAAAGTGGGAATTCTTTATTATTATTATTTTTTTTAAATTGAAGAAATCTTCTCTGTTATATTGGCTGCATGCCTTCCTTCTGTAGTGTCTGTTCTCGCCTCATTTTCCCTTGGCAGCCCTCTTTTCATGATCTTTTTCCTTCCACTTTCGCCAGTTAGATTCTGTATTTAATTCGATTGGCTTATTCCTCTTTATCGCCTTCTTCCCATACAATATTCCGGGTATTTTCTCATCCAATTCGATATCTTAGCTTTCTCATTGCCATTTCATCTTTGTTGTCCCTTGGAGGTAATTCTTCAATCGGGCATGTGCACTACCCATGCTACGTTTGTCTCTCACTATTTGCATCGCAGTCTTCTTCCTTTTTGGGTTATTGTTTTCTGTCCATATCCATTCTAGAATATCAGAATTCAGTAAAGACTTTGACTGGGTAAGTTATATTTTCTTATTCTTCCTTTACTGGGACCCTTTTCCCTTTTATTAATACTCATTGTTTGGATCCTGCTCTGTGGCGAGTGATGCCTGATCAGATATTCTTTAACTGTTCAACTCTGCACTATCAAGCAATGTCATCTTGCATATTATAATTCCATTGTCACGCAACACACACTGCAGAGATGGGAGTGTTCTACAAGATCGTTTGTAGGTTTATCCTCGCAATAGAATTGCTTCTTAAGTTTGCCCATCCCAGACTGTACCCACCCAGTGACTACTTGGGTAAAGCAGAGGGGGATAGCTGCCCATCTCTGCCTTGCCTTGTATTAAATAAAATGGTATAGTCCAGTTTTAAGAATAGGGTTTCGTGGTCACCCATTGCACTGTCTCAGGTGTTATTGTTTCTCCAGACTCTCCACTGTGTTTTATCCCTCTTTTCTTATAGTAGAGTTTGAGGGTTTTTACCACTTTTCAGTTCCAAGCCACTGGGGTGTTGGACTGTGGAGAAATCCTACTGAATGGATTAATGAAATACAAAGAAAAATAGAAATGATTATAAAACCATTCAGTTGAGAGTAGAGTGGTGGTGTTATGCTGGTGTAAATGACGTGATGCCCTCCAATATGAAACATAAAAACAAATGGGAGTGAGAAGTCAAAATTGCAGTTCACCCCTTTGATCCCTCATCCTACCCCATGTTAATGCCAGTTCCCACTGGCTGGGTTTTGGACTTAGAGTAGAACCAATCAACATACGTTCTCACACATGTATTACAGATGTCTGTATTCCTCCCTCATTTATACTCCATCGGTGTTATTGGTCATGGTGGAGGTCATTGCGGATTGTTATGGTTCTTTCCCTTCTGCCATCACTCGATGTTTCTTATTCCAAGGATGTTAATGTGTTTGGGGTGGTTCCTGTCATGTTGATTTTGAGTGAGATGGTTTACTTTACACAGACATCTTTTCAATCCCAGATGTTGGGTTCCCGGATTGGTCAATCAGTTTCTAACATTGCTATCATGTGTCCCATTCACAGGTCAGGGGGTACAAGATTACCTCCATTCTCATGAGATTGAAGTGAAGATGGTATGATCTTCTTTCCTACCCTCACATGGATGTCAGTTCCCAGTGGCCGGGTTTTGGATTGTAGTTGACTTACCAATGGTATGATCCTCATCCTACCCTTGCGTCGATGTCAGTTTTCCAGTGGCATGGGTTTTGGATGTAGTTGATTTGCCATGTATGGTCCATCATGCCCTAGCCACTCTACACCTAGGGGCTCATCCTTTTCATTTTACCCACTTTTATAATTTCTGGGGTTGGGTTTCATAAATATTGCATGGCTCAGATTACTTTCCAGCCACAGTTCTTTCCCAATTGAATGTGCTCCTCTGTTTTCCACCCATATATGCAACATCTTTCTACAATGGGCAAAGAGTGTACTTGGTTCAGAAGTGGTGCAGTTCCCCACATCAGATCTTTGAATCCGACTGTCTCATCTTAGGTAGTGTCATTCAGATGCTTTCGAAGGATGCTTCTTTTTTTCCGTCACACCAGTCCCTCCACCTATTCCTGGGATTCTAGCTATTTATGTGAGAAGAGGTAATGTACCGGATTGGAAGTTATAATCCTCCTATACTGAAAATGTATTTCAGATAGATACTTACCTCCTCTCACTCTTCCCACCCTTCCTCCCCACTGAAAACCAGTACTTCCATCTTCTGCCAAAACTCGAAGTGATAATTTGGTAGAATTGAATAGAAGAAGTCACATGCGTCATGAGAGTATGTCACACTCTTATTGGTGGAGAGTTGTCGCATGATGATTTGCATGCGAGACATATTGGAATAGTCAATTCCAGGTGGGTAGAAGCGTCAAAGCTTATGGCATGTGCAAAAAGTTTTTAGCATATAGAGGGCAGCCCTGAATGAGAATAGTTGTGAGTGGATATAAGTACCTGTCCGAAATACATTTTCAGTGTAGGAAAATTATAATTTTCATAATATGATTTAAACTTGTTACATTTTAGGGCCATTATTACAGCAAAGACTGTATCCTAAAATCCAAGCTACAGTATAATTTACCATATTTTACAGGATATATGACGAATTGGCATATAAGACACACCCATATTTTAGCAAAGAATATTTAGGAAAAAAAATATTTGAGTGTATCAAAGCATTTACTCCAAATAACATCAAACATTATTATTATCTATTATAAATCCACTCGTATATTTAGCAATTTTTTTTTCATCAATTATAAACTTAATCATATATATTTGTATAGATTAATTTTTATATTTTAATCTACAGTTGTCTGGGGAAGGACTAGGTAGAATTTAGCTTATGGGGGCAAAACTGAGAGATGCAATTTTTTTTAACTTCACATATTAGGTGCAGGATGATTTTTAGAGGCTTTTTTCTCAGGAAAAAAAGTGTGTCTTATATGCTGTATAATACGGTACTTAAAAGATTGGCATTTTCTGATAATTCATGTACTTTGTATTATTTGCATTCCTAAATCCAAATTAAATTGTTAAATAGAAATGAAACATTAAGTATAATGATTTACCTCACACCTATAAGCCTTAAGTCTACCCTTTTCAAATATAACAAACTTTTATCTCTAAAATGAAGATACTTGCTTGAATGTTTCTAAATAAAGCTGATCAATCTGTTACCCGAATAAAGTTTACAAAGAGATAATTTTGATAATCTGTTTTTGAGAATAAATTAATTTTTTTTTCTTTTTATTTCTTGAAATGTTCAGTAATTGTAGTCTTAACTGTAAATAAGCCAAAATTACATGACCTGTAGATGTATCACACACCTGTATTAATTGTCGAAGATCTAGTAGGCTGCTAGGCTAAATTGATTGTGTTTTCATATTAATATTAAAAGATATTTCATTATAAGGAATATTGTAGCTATACATTAAACACTTCACCAATGTGATTGTGTTTTCATGCTAATACTAATATGATATTAATATTAAAAGATATTTCATTATAAGGAATATTGTAGCTATACATTAAGCACTTCACCAATGTGATTGTGTTTTCATG